AAAGGAGGAGGAGGAGGAGGAGGAGGAAGAGGAAGAGGAAGAGGAAGAGGAAAAGGAGGACGAAATACTCCTTAATATTGCAGCAAGTGTGGCAATGATTTCACAATTCCGCTTGTCCTGCGACCTCTTGTCACTTGTCCCCTCCCCTTTCCCCTCTCCTTGTTATGTGAGGCAATGCTGAAGGAGAACGGCGAGAGGAATGGAAGATAGTGTTGCCTTAATCCGATCACCACTCTTTCCGATTTCCCAAAACACTAGTTGATGATTATTAGCCTCTCTTGACGTTACTCAAGAAATTAAAGGCTCCTGTCATCACTCTTCTGCTGCACTCTCTCTCCCTCCTCACAGTGTGTCAGTAATGTTCCTGTCAAGGTGGACAGAAGGTTCGCTTCCAACTTCAACGGCCACTGCCGTTAACTCTTCAACATTGTGGACCGTGAAGGAGGTTCGCAGGTAAAAAAGCCCAAAAAAGCCGCGATTTCTCGCCTTTGCATAAAAAAAGGCAACCTTAACACTCATTAAAATTGATTCCGGTGAACTGTTGACCTGAAAAATGTGTCATTGATTCAAAATCAAAAAGCACGGACCCCTGGCCTACCTCTTGCCTTCAGATGTTGGCCCATTCCTACCACCAGTGCCTCTGGTTCGTTTACATGCCGTCACTCGCTGTCCATCCCCTTGCCCCTTCCACAAAATGCAATCTCTGCCCTCGAGGCCGAGAGACTAGAGCCAAATGTTGACCAAATTTTCATTTCTTATACTTGAATACTGACTATACAACTGCGAGGTACAAATCCGACCGTCTTCTCGAGCCCCTCTCAGGCCAAGATGACAATGCTTGTCATCAGATAAAGGGAGCAGAGGAGATGTCGATCCTACGCCCTGACAGTAGAGCTCAAAACCAGGGAAAATCCAGCCACATTTAAAGTGGACGTTTCATTTAGCGACTGCGGAGGAGGCCGAGGAAATCACTTCACTCCCTAGACCGATGCTAAAAGTAATTAAGCCTTTCCGACGGAACTGCTCAGTGGACATTTGTGACCGTTTTAACAGGGCCACACATGATTGACGCGAGCGTATAGTTTGCCAGTGTGTGTGTGTGTCATCTACTCCTCATTCCTCCGTCCTTCCTGTCCCCCTTCAGCTCCCCCTTCCTTCACCCTCCACCTCCTTTCGTAGCCTGTCTCGTTGAAAGGCGACGCCACCATCCCCTTATAGCCCTCATCTTACCCACGTACATAAAAAGCTTGCATGCACGCGGTGGACACGAAATGTCCGCGGGCACGCATGGACACGTGTCCGATGACTCAGCCGCAATCCGATTGGCTATTGCCACTACCGCCGCCACCGCCTCTAGCCTGTCTTATCGTGGCGCAAATCTCACCCGAGGAGGCACATTTGCACAGAGTAGCGAGTAAACTTCAATTATTAATTGCGTGAACAAGTACGCACGCACTTGCGGGTCGTTTGATTTGGTGTGTACAGATGTGTTAGTAAGGGAACACAGAGACAGGCGGAGTAGCATCACGCATACAAGGGACAGTAGAAGATTGAATTAAGGTTTGGGGAGCGATAGAAGGCAATTCGGAGGAGTCGATGATTTACTAAGGACAACGAAAAAGACCTAGAAATTGGCCAGACGCAATAAATAAAGCACCGTTGCCACTGTCGTGTGATTTGAAAATTCCAGCTGTGAGAACGGATGTCGTGAGAAAGAAAGCCAATTAAGTCCTGTCGCGGTGTTGTGGTCATTCCCTCGGAATGTCTAATGCATATTGGACTCGGTGTCAGAATCTATTTCAAAAAAGCTATTCAAGGCAGATACTCTGTGCTGAGGGGAATGCAGGAAGAGCAGAATTGTATGGCGTTGTTTCAATACGGCAACTGGAGAAATTTTCACAAAGGGGATGCCCAAATGTTACATGATCTTTAAAACACCGTCATTTGAGACCTAACATCCACCTAAAATGAGCGAATAAAGTGAAAAATACTGGCACATCAATGCACTTGGTGTTCACTTTGGACTGCAACCAACTACCTAGTGCGACAAAATTACATGCACTGTTCATTGACCAAAATACGCCAAACAATAAAAAACATCTACTTAATTATTTTCAGTAAAAGCGATATATGAGAAAATTAAAGAAGAGTGTTCAAACCTGAGTTCCAGGCTGAGCCCTGGATTTGCCACATGCAGCCTTTCAAAGAGAACTTAACAAGCGTTAACACGAATACCTCTCTTATCCTGGTAACCTAAGTAACAGAAGTGAGGCGTAAAGACGTTGAGAATAGCAGTTACGATGGAGTAATTCATACATTTAATGCAACTTTAATGAATTTGCAGGCGAATGTCCCAAAGGTGACCACTCTCCGACATGCACATAAATGACTTTTAACTATATTGGTGTTCTTAGCAAAGAATACTGCAACAATTGTAGAATCTCGAAAACATTCGTAATGTCTAGTTGCACCTAAAACTTAGGCATTATGAATGTCCGCAAAAAATGGTTTTCTTACAACCCTCCGCTCACGTACACAGAAAAGACGCTGACAAACACATCACACAGAGCACCCCCAAAATAATTTGCCATGCAGCGGAAGTGTGGCCACACGCACACAAGCACGTGACGTTCCTCCATTGGATGCTTCATTTTTGCTTATGGAATGACTGCCGTACCAGGGCCTCGATTCTTTTCATTGTTAGGGCCGGAAACGTGATGAAGACCAATGAACAGTCAGCAGTCGATGCTATTATCATGACAAATCCACCTCCATCAGCTGCTTATCCCTTGAGTGAATCTTTGAACAAGGCTTATTGGGGTGAGATGATTGCATGAGCGACTGCAGTGTCAAGCAGTAAGACCAACCTCAATACCCCACAGGCACCCGACAAACTCGCCATCGCATCTCCCCTTTTCGGGGGAAAATCTCATTGATATGATTCAATAGCGGTGAGAACGTTCTTCAAACCTCTCAGAAGAATGAGGTTCGCATGTAATCCCATTGTATAGCGATGATTCCATGCAGTTCTCGTTCAGACAGCATCAAGGACCTCTGTAGTGAAGTTGTTGTCTTCCGGTTACAGTAAATAAACGGATGAACATTGAAAAAAAAAACACTTCTTTTACACAATTCGGAAGAGCAATGAAAGATCGTCATCCCAGAAGCGGGGTGGTATCCGTGGGAACTGATGACGCCTCCACCGAAGTGATGGAAATCGTTTTTTGTCGGCACTTTGAAAACGAAGTGTTCAGACGGCGCCCATTCCGAAGGTCCCACAACATCAGCATCATTGACGCCAAAAGCGCAACCGATCCACAGAGGATGAAGAAAAGTTCCAATACCAGGTAGCCCTGAAAGATAATGCGTAGACAAGCTAATCTTCTAATAGAGGAAAATTTCAGTCGTGAAAATGAGCATTACGGACCTTGGTGTCGGCAATGTACCCAACCAGGAGAGAAATAAGTCCAAGGCCAAGGTTTTGAATAGACTGGATGAGTCCATATGCGGTTGCACGTTGGTATTGCGGCAACACAGCACCGACAAGAGGCCAGAGACTGCTGGCAAGAATGGAGTAACTCACACCCAGACAACACATGGTCAAAGCTGGAGGAGGAACTGTGGAGGCGAAGGCAAAGACGCCGTGACAGACGATGGACGATGCAACACCTGAAGTAACCCAAATCAAACTGTAGCCGGTCCAAGCCACTATCGCACCGACCAATGGACTGGCTATTGCGGACACCACAAATACCAAACTGTTCACAGCTGCAGCTTCTGAGGCATCAAGTTCATACTTGTCTAAATTGAAAGGGCACGAAAACATGAAATGTTGTTGTAACAGCATCAAAAAGTACATCCTGAATTTTAGAAGGCAAGTCAGTGTTTGTTCTGCCTGAGTGTGTCAAACCACCACGTCTATCCGTCCTAAAAAAATTTAACCGAATGCAGCTCCGAGGTATCTTTAAAGCCTATGAGTTGCCCCACACCCATGCTACCAGGGCGGGAGGTGTTTATGTAAACAAATGGTTAACTGAACCATCGAATGTTTATAAAGATGCGACTAAAATGTTTAGTGGCATGGTTTAACAGAAACGTCGTTATAACTTTGGTAGCTCAGCTTTAATCCCGCCTTAATGCAGTTCATTTTGCAGATATCACAGCTCTCAAGGCCGAAGTGTGTTCTAGAAAAACTTCTAAAAAGTTGCATTTTTAAGACTTCAAAGTCCAAACCTCCTAATAGGCCTTAAAATGAATGTGTCGACCAGTACCTCAAATAGAGACACTTCGGGTTTTCGGAAAAAAAAGGTCTGAAGTATGGATGCATCTTTCGTGGAGCAATGAAACAAGAATGAATCAACCAAGGGTAAATCAGGTGTGGGTAGAAAACAGTGTTTAGTGGATATAGAATAACGTAGATTACAGATTGATTTAAAAAAGCCATATAATTCAGGCATATTTAAACGTGCAAAGCTAAAAATCAGTTGGCACTTCGCTCACGCTTGAAAAAAACCAGCCCAAGACTGATGAAGGGAAACACGGTCACATAGTAGGCGACGCAGATGATGCAGATAAGCCATATTGGTGCAGGAAAGTGAATAATATCCCTTAGTTTAATCTGATTCCCTTCCTCTTGATCGGAAGACTGAGCAACTGTCTCCAAGGGTTGCGGCGCTTCATCAATCGAATTATACGAAGGTGACTGGTACCGTCGTTGTTGAACAGCGACAGCAGAATTAGCCTTCAAATATCTTTAAAAAGACGCAAAATTAGCCTTATTCAACATTTTTAGCATTAAACTAAAACAATACTAACCGCTTATAGAAATACGCCAGTGAAATTGTGCATCCCAAAGAGAAGAGACAAGTTACCGAGGCGACAAATAAAGTTAGACTCATTTGTTTACTGCCGGACAAGTTAAAAGCGGAGCCCAAAGCTTTGTAAAGTGGACGCATTGTATTCATATTAATGGTGGAACCGATGCGAGCCATGCTGATAGAAAGCCCAAAGACAAAATTTAATTCACTGGAGGTGTACCAGGCGGTGGCGTAAGCATTTTGCGCCACGGATAGGGACTCACCACCAATCCCATAAATAAGCCGAGAAAAATACATCAAATAGACGCTGGAAATAAAGGCTCCCAGAGCAAACAGGCACTGACCAACAAAGATGATGAAAGCGAAAAGGATGGCTCCCCAGCGAATACCGATGACCCGATCAATAAAAAAACCCCCAACGAGACTAAGAAAAACATTTGGCCAAGAATAAAAGGCATAGAGATTCATAAACTGAGTCATAGTGAGATGCAGGTCCATTAAGAAAGCATCCTGCAGAGCGGCAGGATTGTCATAGCAGTAATAGCTGCCAAAAGATGTAAGACAGATGAAAAACAGCATGCCATAACGATGGACACGGCTTCGAGGATCGCAAAGAGCACCGCAACAATACCGAGAGGTATCACTCTCCTGAGAAGGCCCCGCCATAAGAGCGTATATCACATCAACAAACCAAGAAGGGAAACAAACCGGTAGCCGTTACCTTAATTGTCACGTTGATTGCGTTAAACTAAGATTAAGAAGCAAAATGAAATATCGTTTTAGCAAATTCTTATAAATTATTAAAATTATATTGCATTTGTTTGTTAAATATACTTAATTATTGAGGATTTCGGCTTTAGCTTTATAGGTAACAACATTATAGGTCCATAAATTTAAAAACATTAATGCTACATTCTCACATTAATGTGTGCCTAGATGCGTAAGTATTTTTTCTTTTTATTGCAAAATTATGATTAAAAGTTTTGGTGATTGCCTAAACGTCACAGGTACGCAGAACACAGCGAAGAACATAACAAGCTTAGGGTTAATGAGTTTTTCGAATTAATTGCATGAACGGCTTCTTTTTCAAAACACTTTGGACAATATTTTCAGCTAACTCTGTTTTAAAGGCCAAAGAGGTGAATATTTGGCTTCTGAGGTAGAGAGGAGACCAGCTCATCCGGTAAAATCATTATGACTTCAATCATGAAGATGAGGGAACCAAACAAAGTAGTGCTTATAATGCAGCAGTTCTAAGCTTTCAGTGAGGAAGCAAAATGTATGGGATTTCGCAAGTAACTTCAACTCAGACAAAACGGGTAAAGGTGTGCCCTTGGTATGCTCGCCAAAGGGAGAGCCGCACACGCTGACAGTTGAACAGAGAAAGTGAAGTGATAGAGGCAATGCATATGAGTTTTCTTTAATTTGCCTTGCATGAGGGTGGGCGTCTTCCTTCCTCCCGTGCTGTACTCAACCCATGCCTAATAGAGCAATTGAAGGGTGACCGATGACAGTAATGTTGAGGCTAGAGCCACTGTCTGAACCCCATAACCATTAATAATAATAGCAGTAAACAGGATAAAATTGTGAATATTCCATTACCTCTGTGCAGGAGAGTTGGGATGTTGATAGCATGTCCGAAACGCCACGCTATAGTGGGCAAGCACAATTTAATATAACAGATCCCTCCACCTTATAAAAAGAGAGTAAATGTTAACACAAAATTGGTTTACTTTTCTTTGCACTTCTAGAGCCATTTTCTACGAATCTGATGCTCTCTTACTGAACACAATGGAAAGCATAACTTTTTGGATGGTAAAAGCTCTTCGATCCAATCGTCACCGATTCACCTTGGCGCTTTTTCTGATACCACTGTTTTTCTTTATTTGTTACCAGCTTGACAGCAATTAGTAAAATAAAGGTTCTTTGTGTTGACTCACCATTGTCAGCCCCTTTTTTGCCATCGTTTCTGCTGTCATAAAGTCGCTCGACGATCACTACATCCAACTTCACTGTTTCCGCACCTACACACACGCGTAGGCATATCGATGAGCACCCAGCTTGGCAACCGAAGTGCCAGGCATTCATTGGTCAAGAAGCAGCCAATCAGGTGAGAGGTTAACCACGAGTGAAGAGAGCACAGAGGAAAACGAAGAACCGATTCACTTCTGCGTGTCAATTACCTACATACACACACGAGGCATTCGCAGCATGTTTCCAAGCTCCTTAAACCACCACAGTAGTCAGCATTCACCTCCATATTATCCACAACAACGACGGAGGCGACGCCCAAATCTGGAAGCTTTTAGCATTCAAATGAACCCGGAACAGAGCTCTGTCTCGGGTTCTTTGTATGAGTACAATCCAGCCATGGTACCTCGTTCCACAGATTATGATGGATCGGGAATGGGAGGTGAAGCTGTAGGCGTTGACAACGAGGCTCGTGTTCAGCCCTTTTCATTTGCCTGCGAACTTGCTCATGGCAGTAATCAGGTTCGCATATCGGGCTTTGCTAACATCCCTGAACTCTACCAACGAATCGCAGAGACTTTCAGCATCCCTGTCTCCCAGGTGAGTTATTCAGACTCATATTTTTTTGTTATTCTCAACCTTTCTAGCCTAACTGCCTTCTCGACAGATTGCCGCTTCCGTTGTTACCTGCCTTACGACTAGGCAGGATGGAAATGTTGCGATTGTCCCTATGGGACATATCTGCAACTCTTCAATGAGCGCTTTTTAGCTGTGACACCCAAGTGTTTACGAGGGATCAGAAAAGATTACCATCTGACAGTTGAGACTGGATTGGGCGAGCTTAGAGGAGTCCACTTACCTCAATTGAAGTGCATTTGCATCCTTTAAACACAAACATCCATGAATCGTATTTAATTCCAGCTTTCGTTATAATCATGTTAGTTAACAACCGACGAAATTTTGAAGGAGTTATTTGACAGTTTTGAGTGCCTCGCCTGAAATCTTATGCAATAGCTGCACAACTTTATTGGTGTATGATGTCATTCTCACACCTATTTGACAGTAAGAATTTAAGCTTTATTGCCAAGAGTTTGAAATTTTTATGTTATTCAAGAGTATCATATCTGCTTCATTACGAATTGCCTAATTTTTGGCCTAATGTTCAGCCCTTTAAGCCGAGTATTTTTTATCAAACTATGGAAAACTACGAACTTTGAGTAGCCCGAGGGCTGCGGAAAACATTTGTGCTACCCTTAAATTCATAAAGTTTCAGGTCTGATGGGTAAACACGCGTTCTGATCTCTGCGCTCGAAATCCCTACCATTGTGACCATATATTTGAACAGATGTGCAATGGTATTGAAGCACGGTCAGCTGCGCTTGGTGTCAAAGTTAGTTTAGCGAAGGCGAGCAGAGCATACCTTAAACTTTGTAATTATGCCAAACACATACATTTTAATTCAAAGCTGAGTAAATCATGAACATGTATTGACATCCACTATTCAAGTATTGATCTTCGCAGCCCTTCATCCATCCATCCTTCATTCCATCTGCATATTTAAAAAAATTGGAGGTTTAATGAAACGGACATTTAGTCACTACGACACGGCGTACTCGAATAGTCATGACAACAACGTTGACTTCTTGACCTTCTCTACCGGTCGTTTTTTTTGCGCAGATAGTGGTTTAGCTATGAAATTACCACACCATTTGGAGTAACGCCTGTTTTGAGGTCAACGCCCCAAATTTATCCATTAGTAGATTCTCTCAGGTTACGATGTGGAATCTAAGTGCGTGTTTTCTTTTCACATGATCCTCGCCTGACTTTGTGAATCATTAGACAGCAAAGACAGTCATCATATATTGAAGTCACAATCCTCATTCAATTGGTTATGTCGACTACACCATCAAGTGTTAAACCTTCAAGTTTAACACTTGAAAGGATTTTTCGCCTTAGATTTTAACAGTAATATCAGAAATTCGACCATATAAAATCATCGGTAGTGAGATAATCAAAGTATGCTCCTAAAATATCTTGCATTGAATTTTGGCATTTAATTCCTTCTGGTGTTTCTCTAAGTTATCGCAATATTTGCATAATTAAAATTTGTGTGATAGGCCAATTACTTGTGGAAGTCAAGGTTACTTGATTTGCATGTACTACTTATCCGCGGAACATTTAAGGCTAATGCTTTGGAATGAAATTAGCATACCATACCGTGTGCAATTAAAAGACTCAAATTTTAGAGCAGTCTAATGGATACTGCGGACTGAGATTCTACTACTCTTATCCCAGTAGATTATGTACTGTACGCTGGACACCGCGCAAGTGGATATGAACAAATTGCTAGGCAATCAGCTTTCTTTCAATCACGTGATTTATGCCCATACACGAGGTCAAACGAAGGAGGTGCGCTTCCTGAAATCTGCCGATGCACTGGGTCTAACTGTGTCGGATAACAAAGCTGGTGGAGTCTTTGTGAAACGCATTTCAGGCAGTGGAGTGGTGGCAAAGGTATTGGAACAACAGCCTAACAGTATTTGTCCTGGAGACCTCATTGAATGCATCAACGGAAGGTCTTTCATCAATTCGCGCCACATGGATGTGGTGAAATACCTCAAGGAGCTCCCACTCAATAGCAATATTGTACTGCGTCTCATTTCGCCCGAAAAAAGTCTGCTACGTAAGTCAAAATATCGCCCACTTTACCAAAGTTTATGAAGTGACGGGTGGACTTGGAGGCACATCTAACCAAGTAGACAAAAGTACGACAAGGAAGATTGGAATTGCATGCTACCTCCTAATGCTGTTATAGGCTGTGTTTTGGGTTGAAGTCTCCTAGTCTTGCGTTTTTAGCTAGCTATTGCCCCACAACAGGTCAATCCTAGTGACTTCTATATGTCATTTAACAATTCTTCATTGAAGTCTTGCCTCATTTCCCTAGTGATCGCTGTCTAACCCTCGAAATGAGGTGAATTTCTTCTGCACCTCTCCACATTCCTTCCTTATACGCTATTTTTCACTTTCACCGAATCTGTAATATGGTCTGGCAGTAGTAGAACTATTTATCAATGAGCTGAAGCTCGAGTTATGAGTAATAATAGTTGTCTCTCATATTAGTAAATAATTAAATGCAAAATGAAAACAGGTTCAGGTGAGTGGAAGATCAGCTGCACAATTGTGCAATTTCCTCTACGCTGCATTTTAGCATGTGAAAAAATTTCCCTTGGGTGGCGATCATCTTACACTTTTGCATGGTTCGCTTCATGAGAAAAGTGAGAAGTCGAGGTGGAATCACAAAAGTGGAAAAGGAGTCACGAGCGTTCATGTATAGGTAGTTATACAAAGGGAGTGCGCAAGTGTACGATATTGCAGCAATTTTTCGCGTTAAATAGTTCTGCCATTATTTTGTCAACCAATTTGTGACAGTAAAATCGCGTTAATGTCGCCTGCTGCCTTAGATACTACGCAAGTCCACCTCCGAAATCGTAGTATCTTATATATTACTGCAAGGTTGTAGGCGCAATCGCAGACTTTATTACAACCAGCAGAAAATCAAGGTGATGAGGCTTCTCTTGCATCACGTGTTGTCTTTAAATTAGGCAGGTATTCTTCACGATTTCGGTAGTAGTAAACTTCATCCTCGACCCGTCGATTGTTACACAAGTATCGAAATAGCATTCCTCCTAATCGAATATGAGACAAATTAAGTTTGTCAGTATATTTGCGCAGTGCAGGTTGCGGAGCCTCTTCCTCTCGTCGAGTGGTTCATTGTAGGGTTGAAAGAGTGGAAGAGAGAGTCGTATGGGTAGAATATTTCCGGGGTGCACTGCTCGTCCGATAGGTTACGACCGTCGGCACACGATAGGAGAGGAGAACTGCAGACGCCTAATCTCACCGCGCTACTTGGATTAGTTAAGTAAAAGAGGTGTTTGTGGTAATGACATATGTTTTGACTCAAACAGCTTTGGCAACATTATTTAAGTCTTATCCACAAAGGTCTATGGGGTGGCAATGTCGTAACTTCTGAGTGTCAAACTCTATTTCTTTTAGCATTTTGTCATTTTTTTTCCAGCTGGAGTATCCAGACGGCACAAACGTCCTGGCGCGCAAGGACTACAGACAATCCGATTCACCGCCACCGGTGCTGACATCACGGAAGCTGTACGTTGTTTTACGATATCATTTTGAATTCGGCGGGTACATTCCAACCAATCAAAAATACGTGAACAACAGACCAATAGGAGTGCAGTGCCAACATATTGACCAGTGGTCAAATTGCCTCCCAGAATTTGACAAATATCTGACATATGAAATCAAGTGCCTCTTGTCCATCCACTTCATTTTCCCATTCTTGAGGCAACATAGGTGAAGACACCCTGGCTAGTCAATGCTTTAATTTCTAACTTCCATTTCAAGCTTTCAGCACTGTGTCAGACGTCCGATGACCGTTCTGGGGTAAGTTTGGCCAAATAGGAGGAGCGTGTGGATCACCATTGCTAGTCACTTTACCATTACTTTGTTTTCCTCATTGGTGTGCCCGCCCACACATACTGACACATCTCTCACTGAATCTCTTTATTTTTCTGCCACGTTTCTGTCGTGCTGAAGGAAAGGAGGCTGAGTTGAATAGCTATTGCTTTTTGTTTCAGTTAAGTCAGGGTCAGATGGTCTTGCTTCGCAGACTTGCTGAGACCGTGGAGGACTTCATCGGCATCGCAGATGAAGATTTGGGTTAGTTTTATCTGCTCATTTTCCATTCAAGTGACTTTCACAGAAATCCGGTCTTAGCATTGTTAGGCATATTAATGCTCACTTTTTGAACATTTAGATTTCAGTCTCAGAAAAATTACAAGTTGAATGGATACCTAGGATTTAGAATGGAAGTGGGTGCAAATTTGTACTTATCCCTCAAAGTGTAGGAAAGTATGGTTCTGCCATATGCTAGGCACTGTAAACAGGTGCGGACCCACCTCTACCGACAAGTGGCTAGTTGTCTCCTATACAAAACCTCGCTAATAAATGAGTAAATGAGACTCAAAGAATGTCAAATGAAGCCCATGACTGATTTTAAGAAAGCCCACTGTTACTGTTGCATTCCCAAAGAATTGTAGTAACGATTCTTAACTTTTTGCAACTTCTTATGTGCCCTATGCTTCAGCAGTATTCATAAATCGGTAACCATCCACTGAGGTTTGCCAGAAACTGCTAGAGACTGATTGGATGTTTCAGCGTTTACAACTTAACCAATCGAAATCAGGCATGTGTAAAGTCGAATTTTTATTTGTCCCCTGCATCTAGCCCAATCAATATATGATTTGGAATGTCGATCTGCGACAAAAGAGGAGTTTTTCGAGTTACTCAAAAAGCAACACTCTGAGTTCAATTTTCCCCCACGGATCGCGGAGAAGTTTTGGCTGGCCTACGAGTATCACCTAGATCCCATGCGCAGCCTCAGGAATTAAACGCAGGTCAGATGAATGCCTTGGAAAAGAGGGGAGGAGGAAGGAGACCCCCATTCCCTCCATGAGAGACGCTTTATAAACCGACTCATAACAATGAGGTCTATACTTGAGTTTGTTGTGTAAAATAAATGTTTTGACTCGTTATCAGGGCTTACTTAACTCCAAGGTGTGTAAAAGTGGTTAACCCTATACGGTTGAGTCACTTTGAAATTGGCAGTGCTAGATCCAGTCGATGGTCCGCCTCCTATCAAGTGATCGCGCATTATTCCTTGAGTTCTCACTTTTGTGAACTGATTGATTACCACAGACGTGACGTTTCGAGACGACTTGTCACCGAACTTGAGACAATTTTTGCCGGGAGAACAAAAGCAAGGGCGTTCGAAGGTGAAGCAAAAACAAATGGCCGAAATTTAATAGACATACGCTTTGATGGTGGAACTGGAGACCATGACATCCCAACAGGAAGAATTCCGCTTCTCAATGAAAGTCAAATGGACAACAAAATTGGAATGCACCGCAAAGTTTAATTATTTAGAAAAAAGAGGCACGCAGGTGTGGAGAGTCATATGGAAGAAGTCATCAACAATTCAAGGGTTACGGGAACAAGGCCAGAAGAAGGCTCCATTCAGTCGGCTGCATTAGTAAAAAAAAAAGAAAACAATTCACTCAACTTGGCAGAAACCTGATACATTCATCAAAACGTAAGGGAAGGTGGAGAAAGGGAAGGCGAAATGACTTCCTGAGCAGACGAAGAGTAAGGAGTCACTCTTGACCTGAAAAAAGTAATTAAGAGACGGACATGTTTATTAACTAAAAAGGGAAACATTGCGAACAGACGAGAAAAGGAGACGAGACTGACATCCTGAGTGAAAGGCAGGAAGCGGACTAAGGCATCATTCACCTCCTAGAGGTCTTTTGGCATCGGACGATTCTTGTAGACCAATTTGCGGGTCAATATGTTGGTCCACTTCTTGCGCTTGTACACACCAACAAGAATGGTTGCAATGGCCATTATAATGACTGCTTTAGGGAGGACTCGTTTGCGTTTGTCATGGTTGCGATCGGAGGACCAGGTTAGGAAGCTCACCACGTCCTTGGCCATCTGCGAGACGGTAGCTGGCGTCCCGTCCGCGTACTCCACTTGCTCATCGTATAGAGGCGGTGCCATGGTCAATGCACCACCTGGAAAGTAGGGGTTATAGTACTGGTTCTCCTCCAACTCTCGACCCGGTGGTGGATCGCAGTATCCTAAAACAACAGGAGCGACAGTCATACTTAACAATTACGAAGAAGAGGAGGAGGAGGAGGAAAATGCTAACAGCCTAATACGACAACAATGTCTCAGCGTTAGTGCAAATGCCTCTCCAGCCTAGTCCGTCCAGAGGGTAAGCATTAACAAGCCAGAACACACAAACACACGCGCAAAGTTCACACAGTTGGTCGCCCTGAGGCAGAAAACAAACGGAAACAACTCCTCAGGATCAATTCAACCAACAATCTCGTCACTCAGTCAGTTGGTAATCCGCGTAATAAATCGCCACATGTTTCTACGTGGCACATGAACGAAGAAGCAATAAGAGAGGCTGAATGGGAAAGAAAGTGTGAAAAAGAGCGTACCAACAGGCTTTCAGCATGCGTAGCTGGAGAGGAAACGTTGGAAATGCACGTGAGATGTTAGGCTGCTGTCTCTGACCCACTGCACCTTTCCCTCTTCGCCCTCCATTGCGGAAAAGGTGTGTAGGATTACAAAAAGAGGATAAACGTATTTCATACGCTCGCATCAAAACATGAGACTTAAAATGAAATACTTCAGTGGCAAGACATCTCAAAGACTAACCTAAAAAATCCCACCTACTGTATGATGCTGGCTGAGGAAGGGAATATGCTGAACTGCGAGAATGGACCAAATTCGCCATCTCGAAATGACATTCAACCCCAAAGAGGGAGGAGTGGGGAAAGGGGGGGGCAAGGATAGATAAAATTGAAGGCTTAAAGGAAAGGAACACCGTACAAGACGACGATGGTGGCGAAAATGTGATCGTCAAGAGTGGGAACTTAATCCATCTCTGCCCAAATATCGACGACTTTCGTCATGAATCAGATGGAAGGTAGAGTGGAGTACTTCACAAACCGTCAAACTCGACACTTGTGAGTAGCACAATGATTACACAAACCAACAAGGTCACACCCAAGTTATCTGCTCACAATTTTCGGTAGTCATCATCCCTGCCTTGAGGAGGCAAGAGCAGTCAGCTTGGTGGAGAGAGCAGCAGCACAAAAGTGCACAAAAAAGTGGAAATGCACTCACCAATGAGGAGATGAAAGACGTAGTCCTCCAGACCATGACGCGCTTTGGCGATAAAAGTGAGATCAGGTGGAAAGGCCCCGTTGTGAGCGAATTTAGCAGCCTCACGATTCGGATAGGGCGAGGGAAGTATGTCTGTCAATCGACCTGGACGATCAAACATCTTGCCCTCGTCATTCGGCCCGTCTTTTACGAGGATCTGCACGACAAAGCAACACGCTCACAAATATTTTACCAAACTGCCCATCATGCGTTGTCCCAAAGAGGTCGTCCAAGCCGTAGTTTCGGGAATGTAGTGCCAGTGGGTGAAAGAAATGATTTCACACACAGTGCACATCAACTGACTTTGAAAAGGAGAACAGAACAGAACAGAAGGCGCCAGGTTTTTAGCTCCCCTATGAGGAACAGAAGTGGTGGGAGAACAGTAAAGGAGCCACAGATCTCCACTCCATAAGATCAACTTCACCAAGGAGACACAAAAAGAACAAATGTGGAGCACTTCGGCGAAGGCAACAGATCTTAAAGCCTCTCGACCATTTTCAAGGGTACGAAGGAAAGCACGAGACTGAATACCAAAAACTAAGAGATTTTAAAGGGTTTTCACAGAGGACTGCCAAGTTTGATTTGTTAATATCGTTGAGAGCAAATTGCACTGCGTCTAGGGCGTTAATTAAAGAAGCTAAGTTCCGCCCTTTTGAGGTGATAAAGCAAACGTCTTTGAATGCCCGCTTTTCACATGAGTATTTCGCAGGTGAACAACATCTCCCCTTTCGATGGCAATAACGTTGACGACGCTCAAAATCCTCCAAAAAAATAGTCAAATTGTTTTTAGAAGTTGTAAATGGAACATCCTTAGCCGGTTGGAGAGAGGAGAGGCAGCAGAGGGAGAAAGAGGAAGATGAGGAGGGGGAGAGAAGAAGAAGCTGAAGGAGAAGGCGGAGAGAGGGAAGGGACGATGATTACCACCCTTAGTGGAGCTGGGTTTGGAGAGGAGAGCTGTCTTGAAAGACAATCTAAACTATGAAAATACAATTCAAAGACTTGTGAAGGGCGAGAAGTCAACTTGAGTGCCGTGCTTAAAAGAGCTACTCTTTGGCCATCATAGGCACTACCTCCCTCCTTTTGTAAGTTGCACAAAGCCTGAAAAAAGTAACTTAAGCAATTAGTCCCCTGAGAGAGCATCTGGAAAGAATTCAACCGAGAGCGAAGGAGAAAATACAGCACTTATCAAATTTACAACATAGGCCAGACAAGCATGACTGCTGCTACCTTCTCCCCATCTTCTCTCGGGAGCATAGACCGACTTTGCGACATTACAAGCGAACCCGCTCACCTCAAAAGCCGCTGTGGATCATGAAACAAAGCGAGCTCTGTTGCAAAGGTAAATTAGTGAAGTTTCACCTCGATGATGCTGCTTGAAGGTAAACGAGGTGAAGCAACTCGCCGCTGTTAGGAAGACACTTGCCTAATAGCGAATTCCCTGCCCTCGCTCTCCCACCTCTCCTAAACGGAAAGCACTCTTCAGATTGGGGAAAAGGGAGAAAGGTTCAACCTCACATTTCCCCAAACTCTAGACAAGAATAACCCCGATTTCCTCACCAACAATACAAGAACTAGAGAGAGCTTAGAAACGGAAATGCGGTGGAAAACAGGGTTACTGAAGATAGGTTTCACTATTTGCGCCAAGTTCACTGCAAGCACGTACTTTGTTTGGTAGTGGCTACATCACAAGGGTTATAATGAAGCTATTTCATTCCTACTCCCAAATCTACTCCCTCAAGTTGAGGACACAGCAGTTTTCTAGTATGATGCTGAACAAAACACCCCACCGAACCGAATAAAATTCCTCCTAAATACCACGTTTCGGACTTTTCTCTCCCAAAACCGGAATGCGCATTACGCCTTTGGGTAGTGTAAATCCAATTTTATTTGCCTTCTGAAGCAGGCATTTGTCTACATTCTCCAGTAGGAATGAATTCAGTATTAAAAGAGCCATTTTTAAGAGACAACGGTTGCTTGATTCAAGTGAACACATATTCATGGTGGAGATAAATGAGGAGTGAGCGCAAAATTCATAAAATAATAGCCTCGGAGAGGGAAAAGCCCTTCCACTATGTAAACGGCATTGGTTGACGAATGGTTAAGCTCGCATTGGAAGGGAACTTATAGAAGCTCCTGGGGGATCTAACCTCCTACTTAGCAAACAAGTTATCATCAAAAACCCTCACTAGGCTTCAGTCCAAATGAAGACGGTTCTACAATCCACCTCATCAGAAAAGTAATAGCAAAAGCAAGAGCAAATAAAATGAGATTAGGTCCTATTCTCCTGCGAAATCCCCTTAAAATTTACTAATACTGAACGACTTAAAAAATAAGAAAAAAGAACTTTTTAAACTTCGAAAACGATGTCGATGAGTTACAGACCTCTAATCGAAGCAATCTGTCTACGAAAATTTCTAACTGCTTGTGATTAATTGCATGCGCAAAGCAGGTTCGATTTGATTAGGAATTCTTCTGAAATATCCTACCTCTGCACAATCGGCCTTGGCCTCCTCCTCGGTGAGCACATGATCTACCAATTGACGGTAGGCAAGAAACTTCATGCTGTGACAAGCAGAACACACTTCCTTGTAAACCTGGTAACCCCGCCGCAGTGAGGCATGGTCGTAAGAGGACATTATGCCTCGGTGTGGCCAATTTAGCTTCGTAGGATGGACAATCAACTCAGTCGCAAAGACCGGAGCCGCCAGCGCCACCGCGCCCACCGTTGTTGCTCCAGCGATCAGACACAGACGTCGCACCACAGGCATTGCTGATTGGCGCTAAGAGTGGGGTAAGAAAAGGGATAATGTAGCGAACAAAGGTGACAATTCAGGTGTTATAACTTTGGGTTTAGTTATGGTTATGAAAACAACAGGGGGATCCGGACAGCATATTTCTGATAAGTACTCAAAAACTATGAAAATGTCTAGAGTAACAGTCGAATATGGGAATGATGCCTCAGACTTGAAAAACACAATACGCATACACGTGCTAAAAAAGGAAGACATCCGTATAAGTCTACTGAAGTGTGACAAAACTTCTCATGCAAATGTCGACAAAATAGATAGTAGACACAAAATCGGCACACCATTTTTTGTGAGTTTAGCATAGATTTCACTGCTGTCCAACTCAAAGTAGTGCTCACATACTCGGTATAGAAACAGAGAAAAGCAAAAGAGCAGCATACAGAGGTAGAAAGGGAAGAATTCCACCTTATGATTGATCTATAACCACCATACAATGTCGAATAATAAATGGAAGAGGAAATGAGAGTGCAAATCAGTTGCAAGTAGGCACAAGGGGTGATGAAACGAAATCAAAACTCAAAACGCAGTCCATACAGATTTATCACTCAAGATATTTTTCTAAACACAAAACGGAATTCGAAAGCAAGCATTTCAGTATATTTTTGATAAAAATGCACCACAGTAACCACGTTTACAGAAAGTGAAAAAGAAACCGACGTCAGAAAAATGGAGGTGCGCTACGCCTGTGAAGCATAACAGGCATAATGCAACTGCCTTAGAGTCATAAACAATGAAGATTCTGACACATTAAGAGCAATCATATATTGAAAAATAAGGTCATATTTGGCATTCATATCCGCTACCAATATAGAGAGGACCAAAAAACTAAAATTCTTAGGGACTAACATTTACATTTCTCATCCGATCCAGTAAACGCGTGAGCAAGCCATAGAAATTCGCAGGCATGCCTACTCGAGTGATGCGCCTGAAAAAAGTGTTCATACAAACAGATAGAATGTTTTAGTCTATATTGCATAATCCCGATGCAATCATAGTATCATATGTAATAAACGTACCAAGTTACACATACAACGCTGTTTTAACTTGATTGGTAACCGACTATTATGCGATCTGTGGTTTATTCTAAGGCGATTTTCCAAAACATACTTCTTCTTTAGCATTCTAAGTTGGCTTGTAAAGCATTAAACAGAGCTGAATGCATGAATATGAGGAAAGATGTGAAGAGATTTTGCTTCAGCTTGGACCGAAGTCTAGCCTATGCGCACATGAACAAAACAAACACCAAATTTACCGTCAGTATTACACGTGCCTAAGCTGCGTGAGGTTTTTACACCGAATCATGACCAGCGTCCTTGCCAAAAATTACTGCAATATATATGAGGATTCCGGGGCTTCCCTGATTGCAGATATAAGAAGTGGACTAAAAGAATTTACAGATTTAAAGCAGGTAGGGCAGATGAATTCAAATTACTAGTTTGAAAGCTAGCAAACTTAACGATTTTTGCAATGGCAACCCGTGATTTCCCTATTTGAAAACCAAGGTTTAGCTATCTGGCTTGTTCCGGTGGTTTACGTTAGTTTAGCCACAATTGGATAAGCAAGGGCGTTTTATGGTGTAGATAAGCCCATGACCTAAAAATTAATTTGAGTCTATGCCGTCGGGAATAATTTTTCCATGATTACGCATGTAGCACCTAGAGACTTCCCACCAGGCAGAGGAGGACATTAATTGGAACGCTTTTCTTGACATGTGCGCACCATTCAATCAGTTGTCGCTTAGTAGTGTTTAATCTGCTCCATATGTGGTTTTCGAAGCTATTGATTCCTTCTGCGTTGTTTGCTTCGTCTAGACTGAAGGTGTTATTGCTTGTACTGCCAAGTAGCAAGCCAAAAAGTAAAGGCAAATGAAAGAGAGGCGTCCCAACCGTGTGCTCGACTTATTCGGTGCAGGCAATTCGAATGTGACCTTTGAAAGCCATCACTGGGCACAAACTCCGCAACCGATTGCACGTTCGGCAAACCCTGATCCTTGAGAGCCTTCACCCACCTTCCCATCGCTGCGACCAAATCACATTCCCACCCCATATATGATGAAACACACCAACTGACTCCAACCAATCATCGTCGTATGCTACTTCGCCAGCCAATCAGCGCTTACGCTGGTCATAATCGATGTGTGGCGTTTGTATGCACGCTTCGGTGCGTGTGTACGTGCATGCAGAGAGGTGCAGTTCACTGCTGTCGTTGTTAACGTCGCCCGAGGCCGAGACACCCTTATTCCTCCCCTTGACACATCTCTTCGTATGGCAAAGGAAGGAGCCACCAGCAAGAACAGTGGTGGCGCAGTAGGCAACGGTGAACCGCGTCTGCGACACCAAAGGAAGCGTCCAAGGCGTTGTGCCATTGGCTGTTATCACGCCAGTGCGGTTATTCTCCTCATTGGCATTATTGTCGCTCTTGCTGGTGTCTCGTCTAGTCGACTGTTTGAAATTTTCATCTACGACAACCGTCATCCACCCCTCTTCCATCACATTTCCATCCATGTAGGACTTTTTGATATTAGGGGCGAGATCACGGGCAACGACGCTATTTCAGTCGTTGAGGTGTTGGAATATCCTCCTGTTCTTGATGGTACGCGTTTTAATTCGATTTAATTTGTGCTCTGTTTTTATCATTCTCCAACGCAACAACTATGTGATGTTCTTGCCATCCACTCACATAAATTGTGATCGGATTAAGGCTAACGCAATAAAGTTCAACTCAATCTACCCTTTCTGTGCCACAGATCCTTTATTACAATGCTATACCCGCAAAATATCTGACTATCTTATGAGTCAGATTGGACTCTGAAATATTGAAAGGTGGTTCCTTAAAAACCACCACCTCGTCTTCTCTTAGAGGCATTATAGTACATAGCGGTAAAGTAATCTTATCAGTAGGAGGTTGCTTTGTTCTCTATAGTGATTTTTCCGTTCTTTTCTCCTCTTCTACGTCATTACGACTAAAGTACTGCCCAAATTGCAGCAAAAATGAGGTGGATTTTTGGTCTACGGGTTTCGATCAAATCCCACCATTACTACGAGTTTCTGTCAATTCTCATTACCTTACGATAGAGGAGGAGGCTCACTGCCATGTCGTCATGCTCCATGAGGCATTATCGTACTCCTTAGTGTGATTGGTTAGTTTCCTAAAAGCCCATTGGTTATGCTCTGACCAACCCAATTCCCGTCCTTCCTTTCAGAGCCGCGTTGGTTAACTGCAAAAGCTGCCACTGTGATTGGTTTAATCTTCGGCTTTCTAGCTCTCATTATCCACACAGCCCTTCTCTGTTGCCATCGCGGGCAGGAGGACAAACCGTGCGGAACTGTCGCAGTGGAGGTCCTTTTTTATCTCATCACTGGTAGGATGTTTTTTTCTGCTACCCAATGTAATGATGAGTAGCTTCTGACTACTCCCTAAAACTTCTAGTTCGTTGTGCGTAACTGGAGGGACTTCGTTCACATTGAGACATGACTTGACTTCGTAAGGATTTAATGAATCTCTACGTAGGCTGCTTTAAACAGAAATCAACCTTTTCCGTAGATCATTGAATGCCTAAGAGGCTGGAGGATTGATTGATTGGGTCGGTGCGTTCTTAAGTAATCAAGTAAACGAGAAGTTACGCGCACGCCCAAGGCACCAGTATTGGCATAGCTATTTCCCTTGGAGCATTACACTCACCACAATGTTCCCTATGAAGCGCATTTGAAGCCGTGGTTTCTCACCACCTTTTGTTTATCTTAAAACATAACGATCGCTACAGACACTTGTCGAGATTTTCGGCTTGTTTAGGGGGTTCTGCGATTAACAAGCGGATTGCATTTTAAGGTTTCGATTGTGCTGAATTCGTTCAATTTATCAACTGAATCAAGCAGCTGGCAGAGCTATTTTGTCGTAACGTCTTCCTTTCACGAAGCCGAGGTGCTCAGCGAGTATCTCAACTCCACACTGTGTGGTGCTGAGTCAAGCAACGAATGTCTCATACCTTCACTTCCACTCAAACACTAACGCTTCCTCTGCTATAACCTAGTAAATCAAGTGACTAGCGTGGAAGATTGTTCAAATCATCATTCGGGTAAGCAAATGTTTGTCGACTGCACGCTCCAAGTCCTGAAGTATTACGAATCATGCGCCGACATTCATTGCTGCGCGGACTCTCCTCTCTCTGATGATAGCTCGATGAAAAAACACGAGGGCACTGAACACCTCCAAGCCTTGTTAGTAGTCTGTAACTTTGGATCCACAGGTAGTGAAGCGTGTCAAGACCCATAAGAACCACCTGAATGGATAAGGAGTGAATGATTCTGGCCATGCAGGTGAATGTGCATCCCATTCCCCAAGGGCTACTTTCGTCTCCCACCAGATCATGCGGGAAGCGGATGCTGATCTGCCGATTATAGGCAATGGCTCTATTTTACCTGCTTGAACTTGGCAGCATAAATGTGTAGGATTTGTTTTTCGTCAATGTTTGATGTCGTTCTCTATACCAAATCAAGACGATGTTGAATGCTTCTGTCTCCGGATTCTGTTTACCCTTGTCTGTTGCCAGGATGTCTTCTCCCTCCATTGCACCTATTTGAGCAATCTCAACCCACCCATATTCTATGCCTAAGTTAATCATTTCCATTTCATCATTTCTTTTCCTCCTTGTAGTTATTGGTTTACTGGTTGGCCTTAGCCTGGCAGAGTCGGAAATTGAAGGTGTTCACAATCATGGTGACGAAACCCTAGTCCGCATGCTTCAAGCCAATAGACTCATTGGAAGTGCTACTGAAATTGATAAATCAGCACTTCCATCGGATACCAGTGAAGTCCTCCACACTCCCACCTCCCTCTCTTCCGGTTACGTGGCTGAATTCAACCTAGTACTGTCTAATCCTCAACAAAGTTTTTACGTCCTTATTGCTGCCGATTTCATCTGTCTCTTGGCTTTTCTCATGGCGCTGATCTACTTTGTGCGGCTCAGTGAACGTAAGGAGGAGCTGCGAAAGCAACTCCAAAAAGCCAAAGTGGCAAAACCTGTGTCTGAGCGGCCGCATGTGTAAAGTATATCTTCCTACTGATAGTATTTAAGTAACGAGAATATTATGCACTGATTTTTACCATATGTGACAATTGACAACTTTGGTTTGTTTTCCTAATTGGTTTTAACATTTCAAATTAGATGCCTTCTTGAACGTTTGCGTTAGTGGTTACGGGTTGGGCAAAGGTTTGCTGGATTATTAAGGAGTTGTGATCAATGTGTAGTGCATGTCAGGGTCAAGATTATGTAGGTCTTCGATTGTCCCCGCATTTGTTAAGGTCGATGAGCTGGTGGCTTTGTAACCTTTCAGATGTATCATTAACAAGACTTGTTTAAGGGTGAACTTGTTTTTATCCTTTGGTTTGGAATTCCGCTGGTTTTGGCCCATGATGAAGTTGCTATGTTCACCTAGATCTGTGCTTGGGGAAGGGGAGGTGGATCGTCATAAACGAGGCGTTTTACTGTGTCAAAGTAACACCAAACTCACACTTCCAATCCGGTTCGACACCCTTCAATGGTCCCTCCGCCAATTGGATTTAAGCAATAATTTAGTGTAGTTCCCATGCCTTTGTTCCAGGCCGAGGTCATTCGCCTTGTCCCGACCAATAATACCGTCCATGACTTACGAGCGTTTAGATCGATAAATTTAGGTGACGGCGTTAAACGAAAGGCAATAGTCCCATTTCAAGTTCAGGTTCTACTTGAGCCAAGACCGTACTGTGCATCACGGCATGGGATTGGACCCTACATCCTGTGCCAGCGGTTGCTAGGCTTTACTTGGGCTGCCCTGATGGGAAAATTGGAGGCCTAGCGTCTACGCTGAGGTGAAGTTCCACCGGTGTAGTTCTCTCACATTAACTCTGAACCCACCGTAAGTAATTTTTCGCCCTATGGCGGATCTATATTCGTCAAAATGAGAATTTATGAAACTTCATTGAACTCTGTTATTGATTGTCTCGAAGCTTCCGATTTTAGGGCTACTACAGGATGGATACAAAGTGGAACCAAATGTAGGTCCACATCAAAGCTGAGGAAAAACCAATTTTCACTTTGAAGTGAGCAGATCATGCACCCGCCACTCAAAAAAAGAGAGTTTTAAACACAAATAGTAAAACTACTCAGGCTGACATTCTTCACATCATATCGACATATTTGTTTATACGTGTCTGCATTGCACGGAGGGTGGGAACAACACACCCGCATTACCCTCTGATAACAAAAACATAGATATGGAAATCTGCAGCATCAACAATAGAAAAGGGGTTGCAAAATTACCACAAAATTAACAAAGAACAGATGGTCCTGGTTTTCTACTCATTAGCATTCAGCAAGGAGGCATCCATCCAACCAATCAAACGTGAGCTAGTCGCATGTGCGGAGGTGTGTGCATGCATTGCGTACGCGTACATGAATACCTTGCCATATATGGCCATTTGTTTCCTATTGGTCACTGCATCGCCGTCCGTGCAAGCGCTTACGTGGGTGAGTCTGCAAGCATCTGGCTGAATCATGTCTTCGGAATTCTGCACGCCTGAGTAATCAGACAAAGCTAACTCATCCCCATTCTGAAACGACTTTGTGCAACCCTATCCTAACTTTGGATGATGTATTACTTAAATCACGTCTGTCGTCCCCAGCCCCTCTTACGGGCGGTTGGGCAATTTACTCTGAAATCCGGTTCGAATAGAAACTCTGAAAGTTTAGCTTATCCTACTAGTTAGTTGCAGGGCTACAGTGGGGGATTTGATCTACGTCGGGTTGCAAGGCTCTGGCAACAAAAAACACGATACCCACAAAGGCGCGAAGGTCTAATTTAGTCTGTTCCAAAGTCCATGCATTGCCGAAGTTCACACCAGTGAGGTAGGGGCAGGGTTCTAGGGAGTGGGGAGCCATGCAGTGAAAATTATGTTTGCAAGTGCCTGACCGTGGGTCGACCATATATGGTTATACTCTGCGTGTGCACGCCAAGCTGTTTTGTTTACACTGATTGAGTCACAAACCCGTGCGTGAGTTCTTGATTTTGCTATGCCCTTTCGGCACGCGGGAGGCCTTGGGAGTAATGCAGATGCCGCGTCGCGACCTACCTGGTTCGCATGAATCATGGGGACCGAGGCCCCGCACAGGCCACGCACAAAACCGACCTCAAATAGTAGCTTAACCATGGTCGCAGTCTACAAGCAGGAGGCACAGGAAAACCCTCACCGAAATCAGGATTGCACGCCGTAACCCACTCAAGGGGTTCAGCCCGAAGTGCCCCAGCAGGGGTTGCGACACCCCCCCACCCCGACAACCGACCCACTTGACCCAAGAGGCGTCAGCACCCTGCCGTCAGTGAGAGGAGAAACCAAATCAAACTACGTTACTAAGATCACCAAGACAAGACCCCAACCTACGGACCGGGAGAAGTAGTAAGTCAAGGAAGGCGAACACTCCCAGCAAGATAAGACCAAAGGAACGAGACATTGGGACAGTGTATTGATAGTCAGAAGTAAAAAGGAAATGCGGGGAAGCGATTGCGAATTTAGAAGCATTTGCGATGAACTATGCTGGGACCGGACTCGTCATACTCTTGCTTGGAGATCCACATCTGCTGGAAGGTGGACAGCGAGGCAAGAATGGAGCCGCCGATCCAGACAGAGTACTTGCGTTCCGGAGGAGCAACAATCTTGATCTTCATGGTACTTGGAGCAAGAGCAGTGATCTCCTTCTGCATACGATCGGCGATACCTGGATACATGGTGGAACCACCAGAGAGCACGGTGTTGGCGTACAGATCCTTCCTGATGTCCACATCGCACTTCATGATTGAGTTGAAGGTAGTCTCGTGGATGCCAACCGCCTCCATACCCAAGAAGCTGGGTTGGTACAGGGCCTCGGGACAACGGAAGCGCTCATTTCCAATGGTAATGACCTGACCGTCAGGAAGCTCGTAGGACTTCTCCAGAGAAGAACTTGAAGCGGCGGTAGCCATCTCCTGCTCAAAATCGAGGGCCACATAGCAAAGTTTCTCCTTGATATCACGCACAATTTCGCGTTCAGCAGTGGTGGTGAATGAATAGCCCCTCTCAGTCAGGATCTTCATAAGGTAGTCAGTCAGGTCACGACCAGCCAAATCGAGACGCAGAATGGCATGGGGAAGCGCATAGCCCTCGTATATGGGGACCGTGTGCGTCACACCATCACCAGAGTCCAAGACGATACCCGTGGTGCGACCAGAGGCGTACAACGACAACACCGCCTGGATGGCCACGTACATAGCCGGACAGTTAAATGTCTCAAACATGATTTGAGTCATCTTCTCACGGTTGGCTTTAGGGTTTAGTGGAGCCTCAGTAAGGAGGACAGGATGTTCCTCAGGTGCTACACGAAGCTCGTTGTAGAAAGTATGGTGCCATATCTTCTCCATGTCGTCCCAGTTCGTCACAATACCGTGCTCAATCGGGTACTTCAAAGTGAGGATGCCTCTCTTTGATTGCGCCTCGTCACCCACGTAGCTGTCCTTTTGTCCCATTCCAACCATTACTCCCTACAATGAAGGGGGGAAAATAACGTGCACTACTCTTCGACTAATGAAACAGCATGGTGCAAACGTAACAAACCTGGTGCCTTGGACGGCCAACAATGGAGGGGAACACGGCGCGAGGAGCGTCATCACCAGCAAAACCGGCCTTACACATGCCAGAACCATTGTCAACGACGAGAGCAGCAATTTCCTCTCCCTCACTCATTGCAAGTACGATAGAGCAACAGCCGCCAACACAAACGAAAGTACCCTCTGGCTGCAAACCTCACTTATATAGGCCTTCTCATTAGCCATATATGGCAATCGCGCTTAACCAATTAAAGTGAGGCGACCATAACCATCGCTAGTGCGTCACCTCGTGCGAGCACTTTTCGTGTGAACGATTGGCTAGTGAGCAGGCGAGCATGCTGCACACTAAAACGCACGCACCGACGTGCTGGCTTGTGGCCATGAGAAACGACGCGCGCCAGATTGATCTATGAGGCCTTTGTCATGGTGTTATCGTTTTTTACTTGTTCTTTAACCTAAGGATAGTTGGGCCCAAGCGTTTTAGCCCACAAGCATTGTTTATTCACCGGTTTTCCACTTTAATGATAAGTTATATCTGGGTTTGATTGAAAGCTTAACCCCCGTGGGAGCGCTTTGCTGATGTCGGATGAAACCTCGGTTCCCATTTCTCTGTCGCTTTTCATCGACCTCGAAAACATTGAGCAGTATGAGTACTATGCGCTTAGTTTTTGGTGAGAATTTCGTTACTATACTAATTACTGTAAACCACTAGCATCACCTTTGCTCGTGGATCAAAATTCCTAATTTGCGTCAGCCAGACCCTTCCCACAGATCTTGTGGTGTCCTTGGTCTTCATGTGATCTCCAATTACAGGGTATCATGTCAACAAGTCGTATAGAAGCGGGCACACTTGGAGTAGTGTTTCATATACTTCTTCTTAAGGTTGTGCAGTTTGTTTAGTTTCATTTTCTGAAACTACACCTTTAAACTTCTCTCTATGGTAAAATTACATAACCTATGAAAACAGGTGACGTGTGAAAATAATCTCTAGGTGGAGCTAAGCAGAAGGTCACTGACCCCAACGGTCATGCGTTAAATTTACTGAAATCTACTTAATGTGAAACTTTTACTCTCAATGATAAGGAGAAAGAAACAATTTCTTTTGAAGTGTCCTTAAGTGGCATAGCAGTCTTTTGCGTGGAAAAATTTAACAAACTGGGCTTAGGGTTGATGTGCTAAATTAATTCTGAGAAGCATCGATTTACTATCCAGTCGATAAACCCGTTATTGCGATCACTAATCACTAGTTTTATCGATATTTTGTGGGAGGAGTTTGTGAGCTGCATGGCATTTCACAGGCACTTAGCGCTGGATGTGGTGAGACAGCGGCGACTTCTTACTGAAGGCATTGTTGGATGATGTTATTTACCCGTTCAGACCTACTGAGAAGTACAATGTTTCCCTTTTCCTGGTTAAGTAAATTGACTACAAAGGAGGAAGTCTTGTGTAACTATTTCTCGAGTAATGCAACGACTGCCCTGGTATGCAAATAGTTGTTAACACAGGAATACCTAATCAGACGTGTTTGTTTGAAGAGAGTAGCTAGTGAAACTGCTAGTTGCAACTGACCCCAATTTACTGTTGAAAAGGAGTGATAAATATTTTACCTTGAAAGGGTGTCAACACCAATCCACCATGGTATGGATGCTGTAAAGGCGGTCTCTTAAAGAACTGCAAGCAGGTTGGAGTTTGAGAGAACTCCGACAATCGACATAAGAAAAGTAAATCATTTTTAAATAAGTCTTCTAGGTCCACCTGTCTGATCTGCAACCTTTCATTGTATTAATCATGGAGTGATTGGCACTACAATGCAAATGTCCTTGTGGAACCTTAACTACTAGATTTAACATGAGCAGTTGTTAATCCATTTGTACTCGAAGCTAAATAACCGAATCTAGCCTGAATGCATTACAGAGGCGATTCACCGGCATCCATGAGTAAACTGACAACTCGATTAATTATGTGTGGCTTCATCTGTGGGCACCTATTTTTGACCGAATCCTCGAATATTTTGCAGAACTCCTAATGAGCCTTTCAGTCTCCTTAAAAAGATGTTTACAAGGATGATGTAGCTAGAAAGGAAGAATTGTGTTAAGGAATATAAAAAGGTATATTTAGGCGGAGTCCCATGTCGTCTGCATAATGATCAGCCCGAGGTGGATGACTATCGATGGTGTTGCAATAGTACTTGCGTGAGCATAGACATTTAGTACGGCAGGATTGACGTAGGGGTTTCGTCCATCATCGTAGTTCATGGGACACACGTCAAATTCGTACTCATCTTCCATCAACTCCAGGCGCAAGGAGACACCTTCTTCAGGTGTTGACGATTCGGCTGTCTGCGTCTTCCCACACCGGTTGCCAAGGCTACGTGACATCGCGAAAGAGCGCATCGAGAGGCGCTGGTAGACCCAACAGCGGAATCGGTTGGAAACCTTCAGTAAAGGTGTAGTAAGTCGAATCTGTTTACTGGCCAATATCTGGTAGAAAGGCTTGTACAGCACTTACAGGATCTTCACGATCATAGGTGATGAGATAGGATTTGGTATCCTCCATCCAGAATCCTACACATGCGATGTAGTTATCGGTGACATCGTACTCTGAGATGGGCCGTCCTGCAAAGTCAAGCCGCCAGCATTTTTGTACGTCGAGTTTTAGGATCTTTGGATCGTTTAAACAGGCCTCTATATTGGTCTGCCAGTAATGGTAACACAAAACCTGAAGCCACGGTCTTGGGGTCATCCCATTGGGCATCTTGAAGACATACTTTTCAGCCTCTTGCCCTGTTTGGATGAATTTATACTTTCCTTGAATGGGACAATTGATAGGTACGGGTGGATCAAGGACGAAATACTCGTAAGTCCATTCGATGTAGTTCAATGTGAAACTACTCCAATGACATGCCTCCTTGTAAATTCGCAACATATACTCTGATTCACCAAGGGACTCCTTCACCAGCGGCTCCAGCGGAAAGGGGCGTCCCATGCGAAATCGCGCGATGTTATGATGACGCGGCATCAACTCGAAACACATGAAGTCAATTTCGCTACAGAATTTTTACGATATGCATATTACTTTCAAATAATCAGTACGCGATTGTGCTGAGAAAAATGGAAGTGTTTCAAATAGTAAGGGTGAAACTTACCATTGACCACGAGTAACAACAGCCATGAGATAGCGCGAAAGTTGCTGTTGACGACAAACGAAATAGATGTCCTCATACGTGTAGTCGTCTCTTTTCCGACGCATGTAAATATGCGTCGCGTTTATTTGTACCTAAAATCCAGCACTTATATTAGTTCCCTCTCGTGCATTTCATTATTTCAGAACTTTCCATTCAAACTAATGCTCAGCAGTAATTAGATTATTCCATCAAAATCTCTTAACTTCGGAAGGCTTTGAGCGCCTATAAGTGAGAGGAAGGTGTGGGAGAACCACATGAATAAATAGGAGATGTGAAGAGAATCGCTTAAATAAACCTTACAGAGGTCTGGTACTCGCTTGGATAGAACCAGTTTCCGCTGTAGTTGGTAGGTAGTTTACAGCTGGGTTGCATCTCCACCAGCTGAGTGACGGGATCAAATGCAGGTTCCAGTATTAGACGAATCGGTGCGGTGAAATAATTCTTCAAATTCTTACAGTCCGCATCCACTGTCATGCCTGCGAGACGAACGAGTAACAGTCCAAGAGAACAATCAATAAGAGAAATGTGACCTATATTAACATTTACGGGATACCTTTTCTATTGGCATTCTTATTGACATTTTTCCATATTAAAATGGGACTAATCGAAGGCTGCTGTGATTTAACTTACAAGCTCCCCTTATTTACTGTTTTTTTGCATACTCCGTATCCGATTTGAGGCGCGATACGATCCCTGCACCACCAGGTAAAGTGTTTGCTGAGTGTCGACACTCATCGCCTCTCGTCATGAATTCGATAGGATTTGCATCAGTATGACATCGAATTGTTCTGCTTCCCCATTGAGGTAAACGCAAACGGTTAAGGATCAGAGTGGGAGCTGACTTATGGATGTTAAATGGATTGATTTTCTCCGCTGATGATTAGAAGCAACCTTTAAGAGTTTTTACTATTCATTGGTGATGTGGATGAAGTTTAGCAAAAAATTATAAATTAGACCTTAAAATGCCATCGAGCATAGCTTCTGGTAGCTCATTACATAGGGTCAACGGCAGAATCACTAATTTGAAATCGTGGGTGCCTCAAAACACTTCGACCGGTGAGCGTCAAGAAGTCTATAGCAGTGCAAAGTGACTGGAAATTATCGTCAGGTAGACGAAGAAAAAGCATTGCCTACTAATTTGTCTTTCGAAAGTTGGCGCCAGTCATTAATGGAGCTCGAATCGCAAGGGTTAAAGGACGTGTGCCAGCATCCACAATTCAAAGTGACCTGTATGGCCTGCGAGATAGAGAGACATGTGTAATGCTCCCAGATATCTGCAACAGGCGTTGATTTGTATAAAAATCAAAACCTTCATGCCTCCAGCTTTGGTTGCATTTTATAAATCTAGATCAGGATGGGTTGATTTGATGAATATGTTTTGAAGGTTAAATACATTTTATGATAGGGATGGTAGCAAAGCCCCTCTCATTTACAAGAACAGCAATTTCTGTCCTGCATGAAAAAAAACGAGGTGTCAGTAAGGTGCTCATCAATTAAAAAAGTCCTTCAGCTTTTAATACTTTAATGGGGCGAATCGACACCTTTTTAACGCTAAAGTGAAGAACATCTTGTGAACTATGTGAGGTGGACGAAAGCAATAACCATCGTGCCTAATGAACTTGAAAATGGAGCGTCAACATTTCACCGGAATGATCGGACAATAAAACAACCTATTGTGCAGCCAAGTCTGGCAAAATTTCAGCACCCAGTTGTCAGTGCTGACCAAGATCTGTGCATTCGTTCGAGGCAAAATGTCAAACGCGTCAAGGTAAGGCTCAATTGACAATAGCTAGATTGAGAGGTTGGTGAAAAACGAAAGTCACTAGGAACAAGTAGTTTTTATGTCCTCAATTATTTGAGTTTCAGAAGCTCTTGAGTTGACTCGAATGGAGTGAATGTGCTTTGAGCGCGTAACGACTGCTTACAACTGGCAATGGCCTTTCCAACCGTCATGAAACCCGTCAAATGAGACGGAAAACTTCCGAGAGATTCTACAAGCAGCTACCAAAGCCACATCTTGTAGGAGATGCTCTAATTACGGGGGCCAAACAAGGTAGTGGAAAATGTGAGTCTCAATAAAATGAAAGGGAGGGTTTGGGCGAAATTAAAACAATATACGTGACAGGCAATTTCGAGCAATTACCCCACTGAATGATGTCACGACGATTTTGCTGATCAATGCTGGTGGTGAGACAACGGTATTTGAACTTGGGCATGTTTGTATCGTATTCTACCGCAGCCCAGACTGTGCCATCGTCCGCCACCCATCGTGCGTAGCATCGCCAGATGTTTGCCTTGCCGTACACAATATTCGGTTCCTCCAAAACCGAGATCTCGAAGAAGTTAGGGCAGAAACCGAACGTCTGCTCGTACACTGAGTTGTCACGCAATGGTGAGCCTTGGCGTTGACAGGCCTTAAGGATGCTGTTGGGACTACGGCATACACCTGTGCTGCCAACGATTCGATATTCAAAGGAATAAATGCCTTCAATGATACTTTTGCAATTAAAATCGGAATATTGCTCTCGAGAATTGATAAAACCGGTTTCAAGTTCAGTGCCGGAGATCAGTTTACAGATCTCGGAAACATTTCTTCCTTGAAGGATTGGTTGGCATTGACCTAGACAGAACCGAAACTACTTAAAAAATTAATCTATATTACTCCTTCGATACTGAATGACGTTTTCACTTCGAGCAATAAGTTCATAGCAGAAGTAACAATCATTTGTTCTAAGAGGCTTGACGAGATCTTCACGCTTACCTGTTCTTATAGATAACATGGACTGAATCTGTTTTGTTAGCCTCAACTGTTGTCATCTGAAGAATCTGATAACAAGTTCCGTTTAGGTTGTCAATGTCTTGAGAGATTTCGGTGGCTTTTATTTGTGTGGTTGTCTCTTTGCCATTTTCAATACTGTACAGTGTTTTGGAGTAAATGCGCGGCAAAGCACAAAGTTGCCCAGATGCTGATGAGCCAAATAAAAGTGCGCAAACTAAAGTGCAAGCATTTTTAAAAACCTACCAAAAATAAGGTGGGATGTGAGCATTTTCCTTACTCCTTTTGGACGCTCATGCTGGGCGGTATTGAGAGCAACACGGAGGTCGAGGTCAGACAGTTCAGTAAAACCATATCAATATATTTCTAATTTAGTTGTTAATATACATAAAGCTTAGTGACATTGTATCTAACAACTGATACTTCCGTACTTGAGAATATCTTGAAGGTCTAGCCTTGTTGTGTAATTACTTCAAAATTGGAGAAATAGTGTTTGCATATGTATTTTGCTCAGAAGACAAAGTACGCTTCATGGTTGCATGGCTTAATATCTCTCCCATCAAGAGTAATGCATGTGACACTTCGAAATTTCTCATTTGGTAAAGGAAGGCATCAAGTAGGGTCGACATCTTTGATCAAGGATTTATAGAAGACGTGAGGTTTACGCTTGGGCCGAAGGTCGGACCATGCGAATCGGAAAATTTACCGCAGATAAGCAAAGGCATAAGGTGGCACAGGCAATTGAACAATGTTATACACAGTCGTTCTCTCGTTTCGACTGACTCTTAACACAACCCACACGCATGGCATCATAATTTACTCAGTGCAGCAGGCGTGGTATCATGTTTTCTTCAATACCTTTATGACTGCCCTTACCTTTGGTATTCGCCTTGCTCTTAGCTGCATGGTCCAGCCTCTCAGCAAAGCTAACGCCGATTGCCCTTATCTCTTCTCTGATAGCCTATATTTCCAATTTTTAGGTCCTATCTCAGATATTATTCCCCGTATTAATAAATCTTGAAACGTTGCAATATTATTGCTGCCATCCAAAAGCAGGAACATTATGCGAAACCCCAGGAAGATTTTGTAGAAATATGTTTACATAACCACCTGATGTCTGGCGATTGCTTTGAGAATAGTCAGGTCCTCGTACGCGTAAGCTGACCTTTGGGTTGAGTCCAGACTTATTCACTTTGCTCTCCCTGAATGACACATTAATCTCCAAATAATGCATACTCCTATTAGGTAAGACGTTTTGAGACGCCACAAAGACTTTCTCAGTTAGTTCATAGTAGGTGTCGCATCACTCATTTTGACCTTTTTTTGATAAAAATGGGAAATCATTTACCCTTACCCTTTAAGGGAGTACAATACATTTGCGCTGCAAAGGTTGGTGATCGAAAGTAAGATTTCGCCTTCCGCCTTAGTGTTCTCAGACTTTCGATTACACATGAGGTACCATACGACTTGGATGTATTCCAGGAGGAGAAGATGGAGCTGGGGCCATAATATTTTTTCAACGTGGCGTTTGGTGGCCCATTTAGGAGTTGCCCAGCCCTCTTTCTTGTGAGCTGGGCTTCGGGCCATGCCCAGGTTTGATTGCTTTGTTTTCCCGGGAATACATGCATTCAGATCCACTTACTGCTGCTACTACAGAGCCTCGTCTTGCCCCGAAGGTCAGTAAACGCTGTAAGAACTGCCTGCCTACACTTATGCCCTTGAACCACTGACTTCGCGAGAGGGTTAGTTGCAGTAGGTTTATTAGGTATTGAAAGCAGGAAGAACGGGAACAGGAGTATAGATGAGCCGATGAGCAGATATCACCCGGAGAGGAATTCCCCACGATCCTCACGCACGGGATTCGCGTTCCAATTCGGTTCCCAACTCTCCCCCAGAAAGTCAAACTTAAACACCCTAATATGTTACTCAGCTCTCCTTCTCTTTTATGCACCGTCCCCAGGGCTGACCAGTAGTGTTGCGTCAGGCGGCTTCTCTTTTATTGCCAACTTATAGACATCGTCTTCTTAACCTACTGGGGCAGCACCCGCATATGGCTTATCTTGTTATGATGTACTGTTAGAGACCGAAATGATAATTCGTGGGCTACAGGACTTTGGTTATCCGGTAGGATTCCTTGTTCCAGGGGTGATAGAACTTCGAATGGGCTCCTGGTGGGAGAAATGCTCTATACACTTGCATTGAATCACC